CCAGTGCAGCTTCAGAATCATAATACTTGGCCTGAGCCAATCCAAATAAAATAAAACTCCAACTTCTTTAGGTGAACTAAACAACACATTTCAATAGCTCTGAATTTCTGATGAGCATCTGTGTTATTCTTAAATCAAATGCTTGAAATCCTATTTAAAGTCTCAATATAATAATGAACTACTCATGTTTCTGGTAAAGAAACACACTAATGTTATGGATTCATCAACTACTAAAGTCATGATACTGTCAAAGTGAATAGATTCCTTAATGTGTCTGTCCTGTAAGGAGAAATCCCATGGATTGCACCTGGTGATACTGCTTCCAGCTGTCAGTGCTTAGATATTATCAAGCTAAAAAATGAATACAGAATTCCAACATACTGTCATCACATGTCTTTCTATTATGAATTTAAATTGCCCTTGTGAAACTAGTCTTGTGTTAATTTCTATCCCCCTAATGACCTAAACAATAAAGTCTATGGCTTTTACTTCTAATTATTTACCAGGCTAGAGAAAGGATGTTGTCTAAATTAAATTCTGTCTCATTACATTACTATGTTTTAGCTTAACTTAACTGTATATGTTCGTTCTACATTTCAAACCCCACTTACTCTAATATCTGTTAAAATATCCACATTACAAAATTGTTTCATTACCACAGGTCGACTTCTTTAGTATTCCCCTTCTGGACTCACATCTCTCACAGTAGCCCCTTGGCCACTGCTTCTGCTTCTGCATCTGCGTTACCTGTTATAACTCAATCAATATTTAGAAACATGTCAACATTCATCAAACAGTATCTTATGGACATAGAGCAGGTTCATTCCAAAACTATCATTCAATGCTCAATTTGAACATCTGAGTTGGAGCGGCAGGTTTCTTTCAATCCCTAAATGAACAATTTAAATTTTGAATTTGATAGCCATGTTGACATTATACATTATACACACTCCCCCTTTTTACACATGAACTCATGTGTAACAAAATCCTGTATGGGAAGAAAACCTTCAGGTAATCATTGATTATAAGAACATACCAAACATTATTCACAAATGTACATCCATTATTTTTCCACAGTAAACACTCCAGTGAAAAGAAGTATTAGTTTGAGCTTCACATTTTGCAAACCGCCACTGCCTGTGGGAGTAAAATAGCATCAAGTAGATTAGAAACGGGTCACGTGCGGTTTTCCAATTTTGTGGAATTTTAGGAAACCTCTCGTTCCCCTCATAGAGCCCCAGAATAATGTGTTAGTCCAAAAACATGCTTGTTAGTTATTGTACATACATTCACACTCACACTGTCAGGTTCACCCCAGAGTCAGTCATTGACAGTGCGTTTCTCAAGTAACACTGTCAGTCAGGGTCAAAGGTCATTTGGTCTCTGTCTTTTGTGTCGTGCTCTGCAGAGACTTTGATATTTCAGCATAGGCAGGTATCCTTTGTTTACAAAAATCTGTCATATATGGAGCGCCATCATTTATTAATTCATGATGGCTCTAACGTTTCATTGGGACAGCTGTTTCCCACATTTCCTGACATTTGGTAGCCAAACATTTCACTTCCTTATAGTACTACTACTGCAGTTTATTAACACCTAATTTATATTAAAATGTCTTAATAGATCTATTTCAGAAACTGAAACTGTGCATATGATTATTTTCTTGAGTCAAAACATTATTAGGATCTGTGAAGCTCTGCCATGTATTTCATAATTCATTATATTCATTTATCTTCAATTCTGGTCCACTTAAAGAACAATGTTAACCTCTTCAGCAGTGTGTGGAAAATTGGGTGTCCGGACATGTAATAATTACTCCTTCCTTTATCAAGGATTTAAAAACAGAAGTCATTGTATCAATGGTTTGTAGTTGAATTTAGGAATTATCACTTATGGCAGGTATATTTTTAATAAATGACATCTCTAAATTTCAGGTCATCACTAATTAAATGGATGTCCATTAGGAGGTGGCGCTTGTCTCATAACTCATAACCTAGTGCCGTGCACTCCCTTTAAAGCTGCAAGTAAGATCTTTTTTTAAAACCACTGCAGGGTGGGTTGAGTGACCCATTCTCCCTATTGGTTCAATAATATGCACCTTTACAATGGGTGATCCAAGGCCCCACATTTCTTCCAATTATATTGCTTTTTCAAAATTAAATTTGCTGTTTTTTATTTTTATTTTATTTTAAACTCTACATTTTGGACGACAAACAGTTATTTCCGCATAAAAAGTTCTCATATGGTAATATATGCTACAATGGTGAAACCAATACCTCAAATTGAAATATATATATATATATTTTGTTTAGTACTAGCTTTCCCTTTAACATGACCTATATAAATAAATATTTGTCTGAGTTTAACTAATTTATATGACAGATTGGGTACTAAAACTCTCCCTTTAAACTGTAGATCGATATTGTAACAAATTAAAACACTACCAAATTCACACATGAATAAAAACTCTAAAAGAATAATTAGTAAACATGATGAAAAGATTGAAGAATATGTTCTACTCTGTACTCCTAACTCCAAAACACCCACTACTTAAAGTGTAGTGAATATTTCCATCATGTCTCCCCCTTTATCCCACAGTACCCTCAGTGTGTTTAGGTTCATTTTCTCATTTTACTTTAATAGTTTCCTCTTTACTGCTATTTTTTATTCACCAATTGATTAATTCATGGGTAATACAACTTTTTATCTTTACTTATTTATCAAGTCAATTCTATTTCTTTAAGTTTGGTTCTTTTTATGTGCGTTTGTGAATAAGTGTGTTTATGTGCAAACTCACTCATTCCGATTGATTCCCTTCCCGTCTCCTCTGGTTCATCTCGAGCCGTGACCCCGGCCTCCTCACATTCTGCTCCACCAACTCCTCTGATTCTGACTCCTCCCCCTTTTTCAGCTCTTGAATCCATCCGCTGTAACTCTTTTAGGCAGCCATCTGCCCAGTTACATCTGCAGCCCCCATCATGCCACTGTTCTTGTACTGCTTTGCATTTCATCTCCTCCTTTACAGTCTCATGTCCCACACTTTGCTCTTGTGCCAAATCTCGTGGCTCAGCTTGGAACTTCGTGCCCTGTCAGAGGGACTGATGAGAGTAGATCTCTGCCTGCCAGCATTCTCTTTGGTTCTGGCTGACACAGGTGGAGATTGTTCTGGATGCAGTTCTGGATGGCGTCTTGTTGTTGTTGGTTCAGCTCTGGTTCTCTGTCTGTTCGATGGAGTCTCCTGCTTGGGTTAGGTATTTTGTCTGCTCAGGAGGGGTCGGGCTCGTAGCCGTCTGACAGGCAGAGGGAGAGTCCAGGTCTCGGGACGCATTACCTATAGAAATTCTAGCACACTGAGGTTAAATAAATCCAACCATTTCCACTCTATCTTTTTCTAATCATACTCTCTGTCTTGGTTGTTAAATGCCATCTTAACAACAAAATGAATGTCTCCTAATGATATTAGAGAACTCCTTTTTAAAAATTATTTCAACCATTTGTAACATATTTACTCAAAACAACTCTTTCAGTAAACCACTTTCTCCTATAAAATGAAATATTCACATATTTCAAGCTCCATATATTTCACACACTACAAGAAGAAAATCTCCATATATTCTCCAATATTTTAAATCCTACTGTTACTTTGAACAACAGTAAAAACCAGCAGAGAGCATACTAACAGATCACAAAAATGTAAATTGACCCAAGAGTAGGCCTATGTTTTCTTTCTATTATAATTATTAATATTATCACTTTTAGTGAACACTTATTCGTATTATCTAAATGCCCTGTCCATAATCCAGAATTGCAAATTGTTTGAGTGTAAAAATGTGTTTTTCCCTATCTGTTTATACTCTAAAGATTCTTTAAATTATTATGGATTAATTACTAATCCCTTTTGTACTTCTGATCAAAATTATTTATGTGTAATGCTTTAAATATACAAATATGTGCTAAATGTAATAGTTCTAAAATTGAACACTAGTGTATAAAATAATATACAATATGTCCACCAGATGAAGCCAAACCTTAATGTATCCTTAATCTCTCTTTGTTATGCACCACACCCTGTTGTATACGTTCTTTGTCCTTTTCACTCTGACTTCTCCATTTTACAAAACCTCTCCTTATTTTACACTTTATCTATTTTTCTGTTCTTTTAATCAAACAGCGTAAAAAGTGTTCGTCATTTAGCAACAAAATGCTACATTTGCTGTTCTTTTAATCAAACAGCGTCAAAAGTCTTGGTCTTTTTTGCAATCAAATGCTATATTTTCTGCCCTAAGTTGTCCCTGCCACCATTTTTAGGATATTATAGTAAGTTCATAGGAAGGAATGAGACAATCAAGGAGTCGTCACTGACTTAACGTAATCACCCTTTTAAACCTATGCCGTCTCTGACGGGCTTTCTCAGAAAGTCTTCACTTACTATAAATATCTTACTTTAAATCCAATCACTTGCCCTATTCTTCGTTTTCCTCAAAACACAGTCTCCACACAGCGGTGGAGCCTCACGGCGGAGGACTTAAAAACACTTCTGTACGGTCCTAGACTCGCTACATTTAACCCTTTGGTAGGGTCTCTGACTCATTAAACCATGTGCACACTTATCAGAAATATATCCTTTGCTCCCCACACATTTCAGTTGTCTTGTATTTTTACATTACGTCCTCTTTCATCCACCAACACTCACAGTTTCTAACAGTCCTATTCTACCTATGCAGAATGGTGGTAGTATACAACAGGCTTCTGCTCACCTTTGATTTTGGCCCTGTGAGTATTGATATCCGGAGGAGGTCTCCGCCGTCCTTCAGTCCCTCGGACTCGAAGTCGGGAGTTCCCAATCGTCTTTTTGGAACCACGTCGTGGGTCACCATTTTGTTGGGTTCAGAATTCCAGAAAAGACAGACAACTTCTAAGTTTAACTATTTATTGTAAAGAGAGCAAAAGATATATATTCTACTTAGTTTTAATCAAATATCAAATAAATGTAGCGCAGTATAAAGTACACTATTTGCCTGAATGGGAGTGGAGCAGTACAGTACTTAAGTAAATGTACTTTGTTACTGTCTACCGCTGTTCATTGTTCAAGATTGAAATGTAAATTTGCAAGCCTTTCATACGTGAGGTTGGCTTCATTCTCCCATTATCCTCCACAATCTGCCTAGAAGTATTTTACTGTTGTAGCTGTTCAAGATGGTCATTTTAAAATGTTTTAAAAATATACTATTAGTAGTTAAACCAATAATAATGCTCGGGCTGCAACTGACAGTTATAGGCACATTTTGATTTGTTCTTAACGCTGTGTGTTTAAAAGAATAAACACAAATAGCAGGATAGGCACATATTTGCTATATCTTGCCCCACTGAAAAGGCACTGCACTGATACTGTTAAAATATTGGCATAGTTCATCCCTGTGCTGCTTGGCTCAAGCTGTAGCATTGGTGGTGTGTGGCAGGTTAGCCAAGTAAACACTTACATATCACATTAAAGAAAAACAGCATGGCAGACTGTTCAAGTAAAGTTCCGTCATTTCTTTGTCTGCAAACATTTTGCATTAAGCAGTCCTTGCGTTACCTGAGGATCATTTATGTAAAAGCAGCCATACAGGAGTAAGAGTTCTGGTAATAGGGCCGACACAGCATCATCGCCCTCACCGCTGTGCAGTACAGATTACCCATAAATCCTCTGGACTTGCCGTACACTGCAGGGTCTGTAGCTGCCTGCCACAGTGACCGAACGTCTGTGGCGTGACCGTGCGATGTGATCATGTGGTCATAGATACAGGGGTGATAGAGAGCCTTGCCCTCACCTGAAAAGTACACATGCTCCTGGGGAGAGACCCCCATGGCTTTGGCACAAATCCCCATGAAGACGTCATCAATGTAAATGGAGGAGTTCAGCACCTGAGTGGCCTGGTAGATCTTAGCGGCCACATCTCCTGAAACCACGTACCCCGCTCCAGCCGTGTAGTCCGGGTAGGAAGGCCAGGGGTACAGATCATAGGGGACGTGGTATTTGCTTTCTTTGCGGCGAACTGGAGGGGCTCCTCTATGTACATGCCCCACCCAAAAGTCTTTGACCCCTGATTTATTACTCAGAAGCTGCCTTAGGTACTTCACCAAATTGGGCATGTGGACGAAGATGTCGTCATCTGCAGACATGAGGAAGCGTGCCTGAGGGCAGTAGTCGTGGACCCAGTGGAACTGCGTGATCAGTTTGGCTGTGAGGTTGTGGAAGGTATCCAAAAAGTCCTGCTGGATCAGGTCTCCGTAGGTCTGGTCCTCCTGTAGCAGTGCTCTCTGCACCCTGGATCTCCGCTTTGCGTCCACACCGAGGGCGAACACCATCCGCACGGTGGCTCCCAGTTCGGACCAAACAAAGCTCTCATTCCCCCACGTGTCCCTGATGGCCTGGCGCCGCTCAAAGTTCTCTGGCGATGATTTCACAAACAGAAGAAGGAGGACGTCATCCACGCTTTTCCCATCTCTCCTTGCACATTTCCCTGGACGGTTGATGAGGTACGGGTAGGTCACCAACACGTTAGTAGAACCATCCTTTCTGTGACGGTTGGAGGTGATGTTGAAGTCAGAGTTGAGGAAGTCGTAGCTGTTGACCAGGTAGCGGTACGTGTAGGATTTCATGTGGCTGACCACATGGTGGTCCAGCTCCTCCCAGCTGACCATCACCACACACAGCACCATGCATGCGGTCAGCAGCTGCACAAACTGGCACTTGTGAATACGACGGAAGTTCATGAACATCGCGAATACTGTTTTTTGCTGATCTTCAAAACCTGAGATCACCTATTCTCTGGATACTTCTAGACATTTACTCTCATGGAGCGGTATCTTCTTCTGGCTTTTCTTTAATGGTAGTATTTAATTTAATTTCTGCCTGCCTCTCTACTACTCATTCCATCTATCAAACTGTTTGCCTTAGTTTAGCCTTCACTTCATCTTCTCTAGTCTGTCTCGCCTTAATCTCCTCTTTCATTCTTCTGTCCTACCTGGCAACTCTTCTTTTTTAATGATGTAAAGTCCAGTAGACCTTTGTCAGGCTCCTCATGAGTCTGGGTTCCTCTGTTATTGATCTTCCTCAACTGTGAGATGCAAAAGCTCCGCTCCTTCATGATAATCCGGCTGCAAGCATCTCCAGGTAAAGCTTGGCAACATGCTCTGTCCTTATTTTTTCCTGAGAACTCTTCTCCACTTATCCCTCAGGCTCACATCAGTAAGTCATAGGAACAAATGGTGCGGAGGATATGGAGAGCAGACTGACGGGTGTCACGGTTTTGAGATCTGTGCAGGACTTCCCATGATCACTGTGAGTTGTCCCTGTTCCATGTCACCATTAACGGTGCGTCTTTGGATTTGTTGGCTATTCGCTATTTGTTGTTTGTATATATCACGCAGTCTGTCTTCCGGTTGCCTCTTTTGAATGACGAATACACACTTCCGCCGCCTGCTGGTAAGGAGAGTTATTGCCACTCACGCATGCGCAGTGCGTACGTGCTTCTTGGCCGTCGGATGAAGTCTTGTGAGGCGACACAACAGTCGGGTCCGTCGGGACGTGTTCTTTGGTGTCAGTTTGGTGTGTCAGGGCCTTTAGTTGAATGCTGGATTCTGATTGGTCAAATGGGACATTTCAGAGGTCAATATGACAGTAGTACAGACCGATTTTAAGCACTATAAATACTAAAGAGGATCAAGAGAGAGAAAAAGGTTAAAAGACGGAGTGCTGGACGTCAGATTCCAGAAGATGTTGGTGCGTCTAACAAGTGACATGTAATGTAATAAACAGTACCCCCAACCTGTAGTTCCATGATTGGATTATGTAACCCAGTGTATGAATCAGTGATCACTACAGTATATAAAAATACATACATATGAGCACACATTGTCTATATTAGGGCTGTCAGTCGATTAAAATATTTAATCGCGATTAATCGCATGATTGTCCATAGTTAATCGCGATTAATCGCACATTTTTTTTCTGTTCTAAATGTACCTTAGAGGGATATTTTTCAAGTTTTTAATACTCTTATCAACATATGAGTGGACAAATACGCTTTATATGTTTGTTTATTATCATTTGAACAATGACAAATATTCTCATGAATATTAAACACAACAACCTCTGAACATTACAAATATTCGCCTCAATTCAACCTGGAACCTCTCTCATACAATAATACAATACAAAATGTGTGTGTGTGTGTGTGTGTGTGTGTGTGTGTGTGTGTGTGTGTGTGTGTGTGTGTGTGTGTGTGTGTGTGTGTGTGTGTGTGTGTGTGTGTGTGTGTGTGTGTGTGTGTGTGTGTGTGTGTGTGTGTGTGTGTGTGTGCCCTCAGGAAGAAAAGAATGGAAAAATAAAAATGTCCAACGAGGCGTTCTGGGGCAGCACAGGTATTTTCTGTGTTAGAGTTTTACTCGCTACAGGGTGTACTTTGAGGGTTTGTGACTTTGCAGACCGTTTACATGCAGACAAAGCTACACAACACACAAGGGGACAGGTAATAACCGGAAAAGCATGTCATTGGACCTTTAAGATATAAATTAATGTATTTGTAGTGGCCTACTTTCTATTTTTATTGTATCATTTGGTGGCATCAATGTGTGCATTTGATACAGATAATGGAGCAGATTCTCTAGGGCCTCATATACAGTATAGCCCTTAAGGTCAAATAATGAGAGCCCCCCCCTTGCAGCCCCAAACAGAGCCCCCCCACATATCAAATCCCAACTTAACCCCTGGTGAAAATGATCATTTGTACCACCTTACAAGGGAAAACATCCGTTCCTACAGAAACAGTGTAGTAAAGAAAAAACATTTGGGAATTCAAGGCTACTTGAGAAATTGTGTAACCGCTGTTAAACTATAATTTGATTGCTTTACAGGCAATACAAGATCAAATCTGACACTGTAGTGCAGAAAGTCCAAAGGGCAAGTCAGATAACTCTTATTCCTTTTATATGTGTGTGGTAAACAAAGTCACTTATTAAAATGTTAGACCATCATAAGTTATTCTTTAACTACAGACAATAAAGGTCAGGGGAAAGTTTGTACATGTTAACCTAATATTAGCTGACGACGTTCTGTCTCATTTTAACTAACCAGAGTTTAGTAACTGTATTGTATTCCCAGCTAAATGTTCTTGTTATCCAAAATGAATTCATTTCATGGCATAACATTTTTCTGAATAGTAAAACAGGTGTCAAAGATTCGTTTTTAACTAAATGTTGACTGATATTTAGATGGTGTTCTTGTCTCTATAGGGCAGCGTACTCACAGGTTTCTGGAACATTCTGTGTCGTTGAGGATCCAGTTTCTTTAGAGAGAGACAGAGAGTCGTGTCTCACCTGCAGCTCTGCTCTCACCCACACAAACTTTACCTTTGATTGTAGGAAATGTGACGTCTCAACTTTCTGTGTGGCTCCACCTCTCAGTGTAGCTCTGGGATGGAGCTTTTACTGACTCGTTGCAACACACACACACACACACACACACACACACACACACACACACACACACATACACGGCTGCAGTTTGTTATGGCATGTGAGCATGAAACCGTGGCTTTAAATTAAGTGCAAGATGCACGGCATGAAATGACATACACTTAGGTAAATACTGAAACATGACCCGTGATCTAGGTCTAGCTTAATTAGAAGTTTAGTTACGGCCATGATGAGTCATATATATGCTGATATGCTTTAATAAAAAATCGCAACATCTGCAAAAAACAGCGTCTGAGGGCTTCTTAACATTTAAAAACCTATTAATGTGTCATACCCACTTAACGGGAAGAAACTCAGCTATCAGACAATATTAACTTTTTTAGCAAAACGAAACATAAGGGTAATAACAAAGGCTCTGAATTAGCCCTGAGCGAAAAAATGCTAACACACTTAGCACAGAACTCACGTTAAAACCCTTATTACTTATCGTAGCTGCACAAACAAGATATCGATTAGCAAACTGAGATTGCACAGATTCGACAGGTATTGGTATCATTACTGACCGATCCGAACTCGCAACATGAGAAGCTAACAAAGACATCACACCACGTAGCATTAGGTAGCCAACACGGCAATATGTCTTACCTTTGTTGTTTTCTGATCAAAAGTTGTCTTCAATGGCATTACAACGATAAAAACGCTGCTGAAAGTTAATCCATAGGTTAATCCAATGTGTCTGTGTCACTTTGAAATGATTTATGATAATCCATCAGCAATAAAACTAGTTTTCAGTTTTCAGATTTCAGAGCGTAAGATTTTAGGTTTTCACTATAAGTAATGGTTTATTTTTGGACGTAAACTATAATTTAAATTTTTTTAATATGTTCAATCTGAATTTACTTTAAAATAAAAAAAATCTGTATTGATTCTGACTTTTTTACATCCAACTCACAGGTTTATCATTGCTTTGAGAAAAAAGATTATGAATGTACCCCTTTTAGAAGTGAAGTTATTGTCATTTGTTCTGGGAATGTCATTTTCGAGCCTGAGACCTGAAAAACAGGCTTGGGGCTTAACAGGTTAAGTGATTAAGACTGTCTTTTACGATATCATCTGAAATGAGAATGATGGAGGGCATTATGGGATGCTGCTAGGCCTGTCACGATAAGCAATTAATTGACTTATCATACGATAAATAAAAACTAGAGAATGCAATTCCTGAAGAAATTGCTAGTGGGAATGCTTTATGCTGAAAAGCTGATGCTAAACTGCTATGCTGAAATGTAATGTGTAAGAAGAAAGTGAATAATTTAGATTGAAATGATACATGAACACTGGGGGCTTGAATGTGTGATGAGAAAATAAAAGAAAGTAAAAAGGCCTGGAAAAGCAGCAGGATATTTAAACTGCAAACTTTTGAACTAACTTGATGGCGAATGATCTGTCGCCATGCCAACGGCATTTGATGACATCCCATAATACGCTTAGATGCGTTGATGGCTGCATCGTTACCAAACCTGTGAAGTTTTGGGCCGTTTGGAGCATTTTCACTGAAGTCATGAGAAAACCGTGTTTCATGGCGAGCATTGTGTTGCCATGGCAACGGCATTTGAAGAAATCTCAAAACTGTCCCGTAGATGTCTTCACGGCTGGACTGTTAGCACACATGTGAAGTTTGAGCACTTTTTGAACATTTTCATAGGAGTTATAGCGACATCGTCTTTTATGGCGAGGGATGCGTTTCCATGGAAACGGCATATGATGACACCCCATAATTGGCGTAGAGCTGTTGAGGGGAGGACCATTAACCAATATCTGAAGTCTGCTGCTCTGAGCATGTCAGTTGGAGTTATGACATCATCGTGTTCCATGACACAGGTGTTTATATTTGAGCTAACGAGGTGTCCAGAGATCAAAGGTTTCCATGGTGATCAGTGAGAGGAGAGCATTTTCATTGTTCTGAATGAGAGATAAACCTCTTACATGTGAACGTTTTGTTGAAGAACCGTAACAGATATCGGTGAGATTTCAAAGCGTGAAGCATGTCAAGGAACATCTGAAGTGTACTTGGCAGTGTGGCAGATTAACTAAAGGTGTGCGGCTGCTGTGGTGGAGATCGATGGGGCTGAATTTACAATGGGGTTTAATGGAGACATGTTGAAAGTTTTTGTCACTTCATGCCCTCAAGAGGCATTTTGTTTAATTATTTTGCTTAATTTATTTTTATTTTTCAATAAAATACGTTTCTCATGAAAAATTATGTCTCAGGAATGTAGGGTTTGGGAATTATGGCAGGTTTAAAAGAAAATATGAAGGCAAAATGAAATCTGTCCTCCACTCTAGCTGTGACATCACACACTCTAAAATCTGAAGAAGGCCTCTTTACCAAGGTCTGAACAATGTTTAATATCTCTAAAAGTAAGAATCAGATTTAAAGGTTGTGTTACACGAATAATGTCAGAAAGATGTGTAACATTTTAAAGTTGGAATGAGGTTTCTGAGTGAAAGTATGAAGGAGCAGTTAGCAGTTGAATTTGCATGAAAATTGTTGAAGTCTGAAGAATTTCTCCATTGACTTCCATGTTAAAAATGTGATGAATTATGGGATGTATCTCTGGAATTATGAAAGTTATGAATAAGAAAAGTAATAGCCATCGATTCCCGACCGAGCTGAACGTTTTGATGTTTGAACGGAGTTTCTGCGATGTGGAATGTGGGAGAAGAAGAGGTGCAAAATAACCCAGCGGAATAATAAAGAATTGTGTGCGTAGCATAACAGATAGTTGGAATGCTGTATCAGCATTCCCACTAAATGAACTCGATAACTTTTCTGACCTTGATAAATTGCCGTTTACATGCGTGTTTGTTTACATAAGGATGTGACCGGCATTTTAGCCCGGCGCGCTGTGTCTGCCGGCCACTCTACCGGCCCTGTGAGGGGTGGGGCTCACACACAGCCAGGTCAGGACACTCCGCGTGCAGCAGTGTTGCAGCCAAATG